AAGAGTTTAAGAGAACAGAATGCTTTTCTGCTTATATTTTTGACATGCTCAACAAATCTCAAATCTTCGTCAATTGTAAGGCCAAGACTTTTGACAGAAATTTCGAATGGCAGCAGTACGTTATTAATTTTTACGCTGAGGTTTTGCTTAATAAAATTCCGATCTTTTAGTTTTCCAAAGCATATTGCCTGTGATTTTTTGGAATGGAGTAAGAGGTTGTGTTCCTCTGATAGTTGCTGAATTTTACTTAGTTCGTTGTTAATTGTATTTTCCGCTTCTGCGTAATTCGAAACTTTAAAGTGATGGTAAATTTGCTTGTCATCCGCATAGGCCGCTACAGAACAGAGACTTACGGAGTTGAGGATGTCGATTGTATATATAATAAACATTAGGGGTGCTAGAATAGAGCCCTGGGGGACTTCACTTAAGATAGCAGAATTTTGAGAAGACACTCCATTGAAACTTATTTTTTGAAACCTCTCCGAGAAGTAAGGCTTGATCAAATAAACAGAGTCATAATCAAATCCATAAAATTTTAATTTTGAGCACATTAATCGATGGTCTATTGTATCGAAGGCTTTTGAGAAATCCAGCAAAACAAGCACGCTAATCTCTCCTGAATCCCAGGCTGACATAATATCATCCAGTATTGTGGTCAATGCGGTTGCTGTGCTGAAATTTTTTCTGAAGCCGCACTGAGTGTCGGGAAGAATCTTGTTTTCAATTATATACTTGAAAATCTGGTTATATAGGACACGTTCTAATATTTTGGACATAGCTGGCAACAAACTTATTATTCTAATATCGGCAAGACTCTGAGGATTTGTGCTTTTAGCCAGTGGCGTACCAATTAATGTTTTCCAGATCTTAGGAAAGTAGTTTTGCTCGATACAACAATTAATTATGTTCAAGATATACACGTCAATATATGGACTGCACATTTTTAACATTCTAGCTGATACGTTGTCACAGCCATAGGCATTGGTTTTAATATTATTTAGAATTTTATGGATATCCTCGACTAAAGCAAATGAAAACGAAAACGTGAAATTTTGATTGAACAGATGGTTGTTATAAAAGTTGATCTGATTATTGCATTTTTTCTGAAAAAATGGAGAGAAATAATTATTGATTTCTTCTGCAGAGAAACGTTTTGGTGGAATCAAAGAGCTGTTTTTGTTTTTGTTTTTATGTGTGGATTTTTCAGAGTTTTCCAGATCTTTTTCGGGTCGTTCTCAGTAGAGATATTTTTTAGATAGTTTTTTTTTGCAGTCCTGATAAGTTGAAGAGTTTGGTTGCGCAAGTTTTTATATGTAGTCCAATCTAGGGCAAGTCTGGTGCGTTTATATTTCTGTAAGGCCTTATTTCTGCTTTTTTGTGCAGTTTTAATTTCATAGTTTAGCCAAGGAGCTTTAGGCTTTGTAATTCTGCATTCACGAGTTGGAGCGTGCTTGTCAAAAACACTTAAAAGCAGCGAGTTAAATATATCGAGCTTCTTATCGATGTTTCTTTCATGAAATATTTGTTGAAAATTTAGAGAAGTGCGATCCGTGTAAAAGACATCAAAGTTGAGATTACGAAAACACCTTGTTTTAATTATTTTTGGTTTAGGTTTGGTGAGGTTTATTTTGAGTTTTGCATGAACTAAATGATGGTCAGTTGTTTCGTGACAGGAGATGGTACCACATGATTCAACAAGAGATGTGTCATTAATAAAAATGGGGTCAATTAAGGAACTACATTTTTCGGTCACCCTGGTAGGCTCATTCAGTAACTGTGATAAGCCAAACGACTCAAAAGTCAAAGCAGGTTAAAGTTGGAATATTTAGATCAAAAAAATTAACATTTAAGTCTCCCAAACATATTAGTATATCACATTGCATAGAAAGGTATGGTAGAATATTTTCAATATCATTATTAAAGCTGTTGATGTTTGACTTTGGTGGTCTATAGAAGGCCCCGGTTATCATGGATCTAGAGGGGAGTTTAACTTTTACAAACAAAAGTTCCAAGGTGTTAGTGATCTGAAAATCGAAGGTTATTACAGAAAAGTTGTGTATATTTTTAATATAACTGCAGACACCACCACCCCTGCCATCTCTGTCTTTTCTGGTTAGCGTGTAACCGTCTATGTTTACAGCATTATCCTGAATATTTTCAGATAACCATGTTTCTGTCACAAAAACAATATCAAAATCCTTCTCCAAAACCAAGCTCCTAAGGTTATTGAACCCCGTAGATAACGATCTAATGTTGACATGTGCTAATTTCATGACAGGTGTTAGTACTTAAAAGTTATAGAAAAAAAAGAAGAAAAAAATAAAATAAATTATTTGCATCTCTAGGTATTGCGAATGTAGTGCATAGTGGGCAAAGCAGTCTAAATATAGGTAAACAATTTAATATTTTCCAAATAAATAGGCTGAGGTGCAACAAGAGAACAAGTTTCAAGTTGCTTTTTTAATGCAGGAAGGAGGCGAAGATAGCTTTGTTTGAAAGAGCAGAAATAATTCAAGATTTGGTACAACAAAAATTTGGGAACCAGCAAAAAATAATAATAGATTGCACTAAAGACAATTTGCGAACAGCCTCTGCCTGCCCCCTAGAATTTTCAATTTATTTTTTTCCTTTTCCTTTTTACTTAAATGTGTTCAGGTACAAATAAAGATATTGAGTATTAAAAAAAAAATTGAAGACCAATATTCTGTACTTAATTATTCTGATTTCAATAGGTGAAGTTTTAATTTCATTGTTTGAAATTTAATAATCAAAACCACCAAATAGTTAAGTACCATGATAAACCCTAAACCCTAAATCACTGAGTCACAGTAGTAGTTAACTAAAAAATAGAAAACAAAAGAAAAGTTACATTGGAAATTTCCCTTGTGCATATTTAACTGGAAATTTACCTCGTAATTTTCAAAAATTGATAAGTGGAAATATCCCTGGTGAGCGGGATATTTCCGGGTGCAATTTCCAATGCGACAATGCCGCGCGGCGTTTGTCGGAAACCCACCTTTAGGTTGTCATTTTTGGCATTGAGACCAGCTTTTCCATTTAAAACGCATTGATGTCAGAAATCTGTCGAAGTGTATATTTTTTGACAAACAAAATTTAAACGGGAAAGATCAATAACAATCACCATCACAGAACACATCACCATCATAATTAATTGAAATATTCGACAAAACTTATAGTAAATAAACTTCAAACTCGGGAAATTTCCTATCAAAATATAACACGTGCATAAAATATTTCCTAAGGGAAATTTTCAAAAATTTCGTCTTTAGTCAATTTTTTTAAACAAAACCATTCGTGCATATCGCCAAAGAAAAAATCCCTCACCCTTCGGGTTCGGAATTTTTTCAGGCGCTATGCACTCATGATTTTGTTAAAAAATTGGCTTCAGACAAAATTTTCAAAAATTTCCTGAAATATTTTATGCACTAGTTATATTACTACTGGAAATTTTCCTTGTGCATATTTAACTGGAAATTTACCTCGTAATTTTCAAAAATTGACAAGTGGAAATATCCCTGGTTAGAGGGATATTTCCGGGTGCAATTTCCAATGCGACAATGCCGCGCGGCGTCCGTCGGAAACCCACCTTTAGGTTGTCATTTTTGGCATTGAGACCAGCTTTTCCATTTAAAACGCATTGATGTCAGAAATCTGTCAAAGTGTATATTTTTTGACAAACGCAATTTAAATGGGAAAGATCAATAACAATCACCATCACAGAACACATCACCATAATTAAAATATTCGACACAACCTATAAACTTCAAACTCGGGAAATTTCCAGTAGAAATATAACTAGTGCATAAAATATTTCCGGAAATTTTTGAAAATTTTGTCTGAAGCCAATTTTTTAACAAAATCATGAGTGCATAGCGCCTGAAAAAATCCCGAACCCGAAGGGTGAGGGATTTTTTCTTTGGCGCTATGCACGAATGGTTTTGTTTAAAAAAATTGACTAAAGACGAAATTTTTGAAAATTTCCTTTAGGAAATATTTTATGCACGTGTTATATTTTGATAGGAAATTTCCCGAGTTTGAAGTTTATTTACTATAAGTTGTTTCGAATATTTTAAATATGATGATATGTTCTGTGATGGTGATTTTTATTGATCTTCCCTATTTAAATTGCGTTTGTCAAAAAATATACACTTTGACAGATTTCTGACATCAATGCGTTTTAAATGGAAAAGCTGGTCTCAATGCCAAAAATGACAACCTAAAGGTGGGTTTCCGACAGACGCCGCGCGGCATTGTCGCATTGGAAATTGCACCCGGAAATATCCCGCTCACCAGGGATATTTCCACTTGTTAATTTTTGAAAATTACGAGGTAAATTTCCAGTTAAATATGCACAAGGGAAATTTCCTATCAAAATATAACACGTGCATAAAATATTTCCTAGGGGAAATTTTTAAAAAATTTCGTCTTCAGCCAATTTTTTTAAACAAAACCATTCGTGCATAGCGCCAAAGAAAAAATCCCTCACCCTTCGGGTTCGGGATTTTTTCAGGCGCTATGCACTCATGATTTTATTAAAAAATTGGCTTCAGACGGAAATATTTTATGCACTAGTTATATTACTACTGGAAATACAAATATTACCCACCCCATATCAAAACAATGAATCAGCGCATATATTTTATAGCACTCTAGAGAAATATAATAAAAGTAAATAGTGACCTAATACCCAAAATTAAAATTAAATAACTTCAAACGCATTGTAGAGTTAAATCCCATGAATTGGAAATAAAATGGAAAAAAAAAGAAATGACAATATATCTAATAATAAAATGGTAAGTTCCGAATTTGAACATTTGTCTGTGAAAGTTTCAGTTTTTCACCATCCACCCTTTTATTTTGATGGTTAAAGTTTAGTTTGGGGTGTATTTTGGCACAATATGTTAGTAAACAGAAAAATGTTACCTTCCCTATGCGTCAATTCGGTGTAATTCCTACCACAAAAATCAGTTCCTTTTCCATTAATTTTCACCGTCATCACCATCCTTGTTGTTTCTTTCACTCGCGCTATCATTTAAAGAGATTATAGAATCGTTAAGGGATTTTTCATCCCTTATTAGCTCACGATCACCTGCCGAATTTTTTTTGAACACTAAACCGTTATAGGTCCACACGTTATTTCTATCATAAATATCGCGTGCCTTTTTGAAAAGGGCAAGATTTTCGGTCGTAAGGAGTTCAGTAATCATTACCTTTGAACCTTTCAATAGTTTTTTGCTTGCAAACACAGTGTGTCGCATCCACCGATTCCTGAAACGGACTGAGATTGGCCTTGACTTTGAAGACTTTGGTTTGTTTGGTTTTTTACCAATACGGACACAGAAATTTATGTGATTTTTATTTAATTGAATATTGAGTTTTTGTTGAAAAAAGGACAAAACTGTTGTGTATAGGTCTTTGCCCTGTTCTTCGCTTAAACCATGGATCAACAGCGTATTTACGTTGTGTTGCAGCTCCATTTTTGAAATGTCCTGCTTGACTTTGGAGAGTTCCGATTTTATATCGCTTACTTGCATTTTTATTTCTTGCAGAGAAGATGAAATACTTTCCTGGAAGCTGTTTAACTTCTTCAAAAATTCGGAGTTTTCACAATCACCGGATATGGTGATAGGCGCCTGGCTTATCTTTGCGAACTCTGTGCGCAAAATGTTGATTCCGTCATTGAATTGTTTTGATAGTAGATCTACACGTGTATTCACAATTTTCAAAGTAAGATTTTGCGATTTTCCTGCCATTATTGAGGCAACAGGTATTTCCACTGACTTGCACAACACTAACTTCACTAAAACCAACTTAGAAAGGATATTTATTGGTCACTTGTACCCTTTTAAATTGAAAATTTTCAGGAGCAGAGCAATGGCGTGTCTACTCAACCGAACGCGCCATCATATAGGACGTCAAAAGAAATTTTTCCAAAAAAAAAATTGACCTTGAATGTGACCTTGATCCTGACCTTTACCATCAAAATTCACGTAAATGGCAGTTTAACGTGCTGAAAACTTGTATAGTGTTGAAAGGCATCTCAAGTAACCTATATGCCGAGTTTTAGCCTTCAAGCTCATACACATCCAGAGATACGGCAACCCCGAATTCTCAGTTTGCGCTCCCGGGAACAGGGTAGAAGGCATATTCCCATTGAATTTATTTTTAGTATTAAATAAAGGCCGCTGAAAGAAATTTTTTCAAAAAAAAATTGACCTTAGCCATAACTTTGATCGTGACCTTGACCAGTGAAATTCACGTAAATATCAATTTATCGTGCTGAAATTATGTATAGCGCCGAAGAACATCATAAATAAGCTACACACCGAGTTTTAGCCTTCAAGATCATACACATTCAGAGATACGGTAACCCCGCATTCTCAGTTTGGGCTCTCGGGAACGGGGTAGAAGGCGTAGTCCGATTGAGTTAATTTTTGGTATACATATAAAGGCCGCTGAAAGAAATTCTTCTTTATAGATAGTTTAGTTTGATCCCAAAATATTGTTTTATGATCGAAAATGTTGGCGCAAATAACTATAAATTGAATTTTATAAATATTGAATGAATCCTCTTCTCGACCTTTGACACAGATCAATATATAATATCTATTCTTATCAGCTTAATATCACAATCGCTCTGGTTAGCAGATAAAAATTTAATAAACGTAAAAAGCATCATGTGGTAGATATTCGAACGAAGAGAAGTGCTCAAACCATTTTTTGAAAAAAAAAAACATTATTGAGTAATGATAAAGCGTATAATATCTACTGAACTTGGTACACTTTAACCGACAATAACTGTGCTATATCGAAACTGATCAAAAATATGCAAACTAACCCGTCTTAGTATTGCGTGCTAGTCCCCGTAAACTTACCTGATGCATGCTAGAATCCTTGAACATTTTTATTTTATCTAGCTTGTCGTGCTTAGTTGTCGTTGTTAATCAGTACACTGTATCCAGTTTTAGATTTTTTAATATAAGGGTACAAAAAATCAAATTAATCAAATAATAATTACTCATTAGCGCACACATTTTTAATCATGGAACAATATTTCAGGATCAAACTGAAGTTTCTACGAAGAAGAAGCATGACATTTTTGTGAATGATCCTTACATCTCTGACCTTCACTAAACTAGTACTTATAGGTAATTATTCAAAATCAGTCCTTCAATATTACGGTACAAAAAAATCAAACTAATTTATCATTATTTATTTGCGCCAAGATTTTTGATCATGAAACAATATTTTGAGATAAAACTTAACTGTCTATAAGAAAAAGCATGATATTTTTGTGAAACAATTACCAAAAAATATGTAAAGTCTGTTTTTTTTTTTAAAGATAAAAGTCAAAATGAGATTATGTTGGCAATGCAATGTTCATATTAACGTGAATTTCACTGGTCAAGATCACGGTCAAGGTCACGGCTGAGGTCAATTTTTTTTTTTGGGGAAAATTTCTTTCAGCGGCCTTTATATGTATACCAAAAATTAACTCGATTGGACTACGCCTTCTAGCCCGTTCCCGAGAGCCCAAACTGAGAATGCGGGGTTGCCGTATCTCTGAATTTGTATGACCTTGAAGGCTAAAACTCGGTGTGTAGGTTATTTATGATGCTCTTCGTCGCTATACATAATTTCAGCACAATAAATTGATATTTATGTGAATTTCACTGGTCAAGATCACGGTCAAGGTCACGGCTAAGGTCAATTTTTTCTTGGAAAGATTTCTTTCAGCGGCCTTTATGTATACCAAAAATGAACTCAATCGGAGTATGCCTTCTACCCTGTTCCCGAGAGCCCTAATCATACCACTAACTTTACTAACCACCTCAGCAAAATACAAATTCCTGGAAGTTTATATGGACCCTCTCTATTAAACTCGTTTGAAATTCTGAGTACTTCTACAAATCTGAAGATATGGTTTTTTTCAAACCAAAAATAAACTTTACCTCGTTTGCTGACCATACATCTAGGTTGAACCTGCCCCAAAAATCGCCTCTGTATTTCATGTTGTTTTCCACCACTTCCAACAAGATTGCCTCTTCAAAATCAGAATCTAAATCATCCCTGGAGTCCAATAAAATTAATTCGTCTCTCATTTTGTAGCAAAATGTACAGAAAAACAGTAGTAGAATAAGTCTATATGATAACCAAACAAAAACAAGACATACAAAATCCAAATTAAAACAAGTCTGGGGGCTACGCCATAGACTACGGTGTCAAATTTACTAAACTTTTTGTTGGGGTTAGATTTATAGTTTACAGTAACGGTAAGCGGGAGTCGTTTCTTCAATCGTTTCTTGCTCCGAAAACTGTTTTTTCGTCTGTCAAATAGCGGCTATGGCTACGTATTCGTTAACCATAGCATTGAAGTTTTCAAGAGCAACGAAAACTCCCTAATAAACTTGGTAGCTTTGGTTCGCCGCTTTTTGGATAAAGTGGGGGAAAAATAATAAGAACTGAACACAGTACCTACACAATACATATTTCTGCAATTATCGGATATTTCAATCTTTTCATCATTTCATGAAGAAAGAAACAAAATATTTATTGAAAACTATTAAAATTAACGAGGAATTTGAAAACGAAATAAATAAATACAATATGAATAAATTAAAAACGAAAAGATAATTGTACAATGAAATTCTATGGGTTAAGATGCTCCAAATGAGCTCCGTTCCGCTCTTGGCAACGTTGGATACTTTCAATAGTAGACCGCACTACTGCTGTCAGTTGTCCTGTTGTAATTCCTCCAATTGCTCTTCTTACCTTCATTTCTAGTTCCTCCCGAGTGGCTGAAGAGGCGTAATAATACTTCATTTTTGATGGTACCCCAAGCATAAAAATCAAGGGGTGTGAGATCAGGGGATCTTAAATGTATTTGATAAAGTCTATTTTTTGCGATAAATAATCATATTATTTTTACCTTGGGGGCCATCTAACAGGACCATTGGTTCCCATCCAATTGTCTCCAAAAGCCCAATTCAAATGATCTGTTACAATTCTAGCATTATGATGGGGGGGGGGGGGGGGGGTGCTCCATCCTGCTGGAATGAAAAGACTCGGCGTTCAGCCAGAAGAAGTTCGTCCAGAAATTCTTCAATTTCTTGCTGAAGGAAATTCCAATATCTTTCTCCAGTAAGCTGACCATCAAAAATAATTGGTTCAATTATTCGATCACCAATAATTCCTAGCCAGCAATTGAAACCAAACCGTTGCTGGAAATGCCCCTGTTCCATAGGATGAAGATTTTCTTGCGACCAGTACCTCTTGTTATGTCGATTGAACATGCCCAAATTTGTAAAACGACTCTCATCAGAGCATAATATTTGGAATGGAAATCTGGTATTTTCTCTGTACTTTTGTAAATACCAGTTGCAATATTCAAGGCGTCGATCATAATCAGTTGGATACAAGTGCCGACGTAGCGGGTATTTGAATGACTTAAATTTATGTTTATTGAGAATTCTCCATACCGAAGCCTGACTTATGTCGCATTCTGCAGCGATTTCCCTCGTTGAAGCTGCCCTATTTACAGCAACCATAGCCAACACATCAACTTCCTTTTTCTCATTTAAAACGAATGGTTCGTTAACGTTATTTGGTTCAGTCCTCATGATTTCTATCAATCTGGGAAAATAATGTCGACTTGAGTGGCGACAATTAGGTGCTAGCTGACGTTTGCACACATAACCTCAATGACATGTTTGTCCCCCTATCGAAAGTCACGTTATTTCATTGATGACAAGCTAGTGCCTGTGTGTTGAAAAGACCTTTCAAATGCTTTGTTTGTCCCCCCAACGGAAGTGAGGTTATGTGTGTGACGTCAGCTAGTGCCTTATTTGGATATTTCGCAGCGTATGCGCGAGCTGCGTGTGTCGCAATCTGCCTGCACTCACGGAATACTAAACTCATGTCAATCTTTTCGCTGCGTGTGAAATTCATAATTATTTCTCTTTCACAGAAAAAAAAACGCTAAAATACGAAATTAGTCTGACAACTTGTGTAAAATTTCTAATAAAAGAAGGTGCTTAACGACATTTGAGGTAATCAACTTGTATTACGAGGGTGATTTCAAAGATTTGATTCCAAAAAATTAAAGTTAAGAATCTAGCAGAAATTCAACAGGAAAGGAGACATTATTGTGTAGTATTAGTCGAAAAAAAGTTGTTTAGTTGATTCCGTGAGCCACTACCCTTTTCATAAAAAAAAATCAACTTTTACGCATTTGAAAATTTCAAATGGTTGTAAAAGTTGCATTTTGCAATAATAAAAACAAATACACTCCTGGACATAAAAAACCGGACAAACAAAATTTTGGTTTGAATGTGCTCTAACTTAACCACATCATACAGACTTCGGCCCATGCAAAACCTTGTTAAATTTAACGACGCCGACGTGTCAAATTCGTTAATCGAGAGCAAAAGTATCGGCCTTAGGAATACCTACTATCCTTCCAGTTATTTCTATGTTCTATGCTTTCATGCTTACTTAGCTACACCGCCATTTTGTCACCCGAAATTGTGATTTTATTTTGAAATGTGCTTTTACTTTACATCATTAAAGTAAAAATTTGGTTTTTATTTGATTTTAATCCCATTAGTCCTATAATAAAAAAATTGAGTAGCGCCATTTTGAAGAAATCCGCCATCTTGAATATGACGCCACTCCTGATAGGGTGCTGCGGGTCAAATTAAAGTATTATATTTAGGGAAACTTCCTGCCAAGCGGTTTGCTTCTATCACAATTT